AAGACCCTAAAGTCATAGAAGGGTCCCCCAGAGGCCATCTAGTCCATTCCACCCAGTGGAGGATCTCTAATAAGACCCTAAAGTCATAGAAGGGTCCCCCAGAGGCTATCTAGCCCATTCTGCCCAATGCAGGATCTCTAATAATACTATTATGCTGTTTTATATTGTTGATTTTATTTGTTATTTCTTGTTTTGTTGTGATGTATTTTGTTATTGTGTGTTTATTATGTTGTATTATTTTGGGCCTAGCCTCATGTTAGCTGCCTCGAGTCCCCTTTGGGGAGATGGTAGCGGGTTATAGATAAAGATTGTTGTTGTTGTTGTTGTTGTTGTTGTTGTTGTTGTGACCCTAAAGTCATCGAAGGGTTCCCCAGAGGACAACTAGTCCATTCCACCCAATGCAGAATCTCTCTTAAGACCCTAAAGCCAATGAAGGGTCCCCCAGAGGCCATCTAGTCCATTCTTCCCAATGGAGAATCTCTCTTAAGACCCTAAAGTCATTGAAGGGTCCCCCAGAGGCCATCTAGCCTATTCCGCCCAATGGAGGATCTCTCTTAAGACCCTAAAGTCATAGAAGGGTCCCCCAGAAGCCATCTAGCCTATTCTGCCCAATGGAGGATCTCTCTTAAGACCCTAAAGCCAATGAAGGGTCCCCCAGAGGCCATCTAGCTCATTCCACCCAATGGAGGATCTCTCTTAAGACCCTAAAGTCATTGAAGGGTCCCCCAGAGGCCATCTAGCCTATTCTGCCCAATGGAGGATCTCTCTTAAGACCCTAAAGTCATTGAAGGGTCCCCCAGAAGCCATCTAGCCTATTCCGCCCAATGGAGGATCTCTCTTAAGACCCTAAAGCCAATGAAGGGTCCCCCAGAGGCCATCTAGCTCATTCCGCCCAATGGAGGATCTCTCTTAAGACCCTAAAGCCAATGAAGGGTCCCCCAGAGGCCATCTAGTCCATTGTAGTGCTTGTGCTGCTTTGTGGGCTTCGAAGGGGTCTCTCCTGTGAGCTCACCCACCGACCCATGAACGCCAGAGGGAAGAGGAATGGGAGGGTGAGGGGATGAGACAGAGAGGGAAGGAGCCATCAGGGTCCCCTTTGGACACTCTTAGGTGGGAGGGGGCTTCTGGCCAAGCAGTGGAGGTCCTCTCCCCTAACCAAGGGGTCAGTGGGTCCACGGCACTGGGCCAGATTCACTTGCAGACCCTGGTGGGCCTTTGCCTCTTCCCACAGTCCCCCACTCACCCACCCATGGAGCCAGAATCCCCCCCCCCAAAGAAGCYTTCTTTGTTCCTGTGATGTTGTGGGACCCTTCCCCTCGTGGGGTGCAGCCTGGGTCAAGGGGCATGCATAGGCTGCCTTCCTTCCTTCATTCCGTCCATCCTTGGCGCGTCCTGGGTCCTTTGGGGGAAGAATCCTCATTCTGCTCCCTTGCCTCAGTTTCCGTGGATCCCTCGATGCTTTGGGGGGGGGGGTTGTGGTGCATGCAGGGGGGGCATCCCCCTCCCCTTCCTCTTCTCCGCGTAACCTTTCCCACTTGTCTGTCTCTCTTTCTGTTCTGCTCCAAGGGGACACAGCTGATTTTCAGCGCGGCCAAAGAACTGGGACACTTGTCGAAGCTGAAGGTACGGCCGCCCCGCATGCTGCCCCCCACACCCTCCCTCTCTCCGTGACCGTGCGCATGAATGTCCCTTTGTGTCGTGGTGTCTTTTGTCTTGAGCTGTCATTGTGCGCAACACCTGCCCAGTGTCTGCCTGTACAAACACGAGCCGCCTGCGTCCAGGCGCCGCCTTGCCTTGTGCGCTTTGTGCCCGATGCTCAGCCGTGAGCCCACGTGCGTTGCGCACATATAGGAGAGAGAAAGAGGGAGGCTGGGTCCCCCGAATTCCGTCTCTCTTAGGTTCCACCCAGCCCAGGGGCAGTGGCTGCAGGGAGTTTTGGAAGATGCAAGGGAAGATTGGGGGCGAGCGCATGAGCTGCGCGCACAGAAGCCCCCCCCCCCCCCCCCCCCCAGGCATGGTCCCATGGCTCCGTGATGGGGAAAGTGGGCGAGAGGGAGCTTTATAACTGGGAAATGACCATCCAAGCCACCAAGGAAGGTGTCCTGCGGTTTGGAAAGAGCTCCTCGTGTAGGGAAAGGCTTCTGCCACATCCCACTGAGAATGGAATCATGCGTGTCCCTTGAGGAAGACCTTCTCCTTCTCCAGGTGCCTTCTGCCTCGGACCTCTGGTGGCTTTCAAGGCTCAAAAGCCCAGGCTGGAGGTTTGAGAGACTCCTAGAGTTGGAAGAGAGACCCCAAGGGCCACCCAGTCCCCACCCCCTTCATTCGGCCAGACACCATCAAACCTCTCCACACAGATGGCCATCTCTCACCTCTGCTTAAAGGCCTCTAAGAAGGAGGCTCCACCAGACTTAAAGGTGGCTACATATTTATTTATTTATTTACAACATTTCTATGCCGCCCTTCTCATGCCAAAGGGGACTCAGAGCGGCTTACAAGGTATATATTACATGCAATACATTATATTATTAGCATAGTACAATATCAGCATTAAACATTGCTATATTGGTTAGACCACTTTACCTGGAATATTGTGTCCAATTCTGGGCACCACAATTCAAGAGAGATATTGACAAGCTGGAATGTGTCCAGAGAAAGAGGGCAACTAAAATGATCAAGGGTCTGGAGAACAAGCCCTATGAGGAGCGGCTTAAGGAGCTGGGCATGTTTAGCCTGAAGAAGAGAAGGCTGAGAGGAGACATGATGATGGTCATGGTCAATATGTGAGAGGAACTCATGTCAAATTCTGGGCACCACAATTCATGAGAGATATGGACTCTAAGCTGGAATGTGTCCAGAGAAAGAGGGTGACTAAAATGATCAAGGGTCTGGAGAACAAGCCCTATGAGGAGCGGCTTAAGGAGCTGGGCATGTTTAGCCTGAAGAAGAGAAGGCTGAGAGGAGATATGATAATGGCCATGTATAAATATGTGAGAGAAAGCAAGCTTCCTTTCTGCTTCCCTGGAGACTAGGACGCGAAACAATGGTTTCAAACTACAAGAGAGGATATTCCACCTGAACATGAGGAAGAACTTCCTGACTGTGAGAGATGTTCATTAGTGGAACTCTCTGCCCTGGAGTGTGGTGGAGGCTCCTTCTTTGGAGGCTTTTAAACAGAAGTTGGATGGCCATCTATCAGGGGTGCTTTGAATGCGATTTTTCTGATTTTGGCAGAATGGGGCTGGACTAGACGATGTCCCACCAGGTCTCTTCCAACTCTAGGGTTCTGTAATTGGGTTCTGCTCCTGCTGCTGGGCCTTGTCACGGCCAAATGCTCATGCTGATCCCACCCCATGCGCCCAGGAGGGCATCACCCGTTGACCGGAGCCCCCCTGGGCAGTCTGTGTGAGTGTCCCTCTCCTCTGCTTTTCTTGCAGGACCATATGGTCAAGGAGGAGACGCGGAGCCTGACCCCCAAGCAGTGCGCGGTGCTAGAGCTGGCTCTCGACACCATCAAGGTGAGTTGCGGGGAACCGGAGTGTCGACTCTTGCCGCCTCCTCCCTTCCCCTGGGATTGGGCCTCACGGGGCACGGGATCCTTTGGAGGTCCTTTCGGGTTTGGCGCAGGGCCTTCTTCTGGCGCTGTTGCTCCCAGGATCTCACAGCCAGCTAAGGCTAACCTGCTGCCTGGTGGATTCTGGGAGTGGCAGTCCAGAAAGAAGCCCCTTCCCCGTGCTTTGGAAGTGTGGAAAGTCCAAGTAAACGCAGGAGAAGGAGAGAGGCCGGAATAAGCGGACCTCGGTTTCTGAGCAAAGAGGAACAAGAACTGAACCACCTTCTTAGGCAATTAGAAAAAGCATCCTGTAATGAGGGAGGGTCTTCACAAGCACAGCTGGGCAAATTGCGGTAGGAGCCTTCTTGGGGGGGGGGGAGGTGGAACCGGCGGCAAAAACACGCCTGCCCTGAGTGGCTCCTAAGAGTTGGCCTGGCAGCCCACTGGGTCCAGAAGTCTTCCAAAATACTCCAGGAGAACGAACGGTAATTCCTGCAGAGCAGCAGGAATCATCACAGCAGTTTGTTCATCAACCAGGGAGAAATTAGAAAATTGTTCTAATTAATTAAAATAATTTCAGTTATTTTAACAGTTGGTAATGGTTTCGTGCTATTTTAACCATTTGTTTTTCTCCAGAACTACTACTACTATTATTATTATTATTATTATTATTATTATTATTATTATTATTATTATTATTATTATTATTAGAAACACCAAAAGATGAGTCCACAGCAGACACTCTGCTGGCTGTTGTATTGGATCACACACAACGGACACTTCCCAAGTGTCTAGGACTGTGTGATGCATCGGCAAGTAATGTATGCAGATTTGAGTAGGGTGGCCTTCTGCAGCTGGCAGATGGTCAGCGCCGATTGTGTTTAAGTGCAGGCCAAGGTCTTGAGGTGCTGCACCCAGTGTGCTGATCACCACTGGGACCCCCTTGATTGGCTTGTGCCTCAGTCTTTGCAGTTCCATCTTTAAATCCTTGTATCGTGTCAGCTTTTCCTATTGTTATTATTGTTCTTATTCTTATTTGAAACACCACAAGATGAGTCCACAGCAGACACTCTGCTGGCTGTTGAATTGGATCACACGTCGGACACTTCCCAAGTGTCTAGGACTGTGTGATGTATATTTTTATTATTATTATTATTATTATTATTATTTGAAACACAACAAGATGAATCCACAGCAGACACTCTGCTGACTGTTGAATTGGATCACACGTCGGACACTTCCCAAGTGTATTATTATTATTATTATTAACACAACAAGATGAGACCACAGCAAACACTCTGCTGGCTGTTTCTTGATTATTATTATTATTATTATATTATTATTATTATTATTATTATTATTATTATTATTATTTGAAACACAACAAGATGAGTCCACAGCAGACACTCTGCTGGCTGTTGAATTGGATCACACATTGGACACTTCCCAAGTGTCTAGGACTGTGTGATGTATCGGTGAATAATGTGTGCAGATCCCAGTAAGGTGGCCTTCTGCAGCTGGCAGATGGTAATTTTGTCAGCGGTTGTTGTAGTTTCATCTATTGACTGTTTGTTTGCAACTTTGATGAACTGTGCCAAGTCTTCAAGGACTTTGAATAAATAAATATCCTTTTTTGATGTTTAAACCAGTAATAGTCTCAGTTGCTGAGTATCTCAAGCTTCTCAATATAGACACCTGCAGTTCGCTCAGACATAGAGAGAAGCACGTCGCAGTTTTATTTTTTATAGCGTCTGGGCGAACGGCACAGATTTTGTGATACAAAACCCAGCATAGACATCTCGTTTGCTGTGACATACTGTGGTTTTGTGCCAGCATAATAATAATCATCATCATCATCATCATCATTCAAAAATACATCACACAGCCCTAGACACTTAGGAAGTGTTCGACTTGTGATTTTGTGATACGAAATCAAGCATAGAGATCTCATTTGCTGTGACATACTGTGCTTTTGTGTCAATAATAATAATAATAATAATAATAATAATAATAATAGAGTCCAACATGGACAAAGGAGAGAAGGTCTCTGACCGCTTCACCAAGCCTTGTCCAAAGGGTCAATAGGGCAGCAGCTGTCGCTAGTATCGTGTAAGGGATGGGAACCTTTTCTGCCTATTTTCTCTGTGACGCTCGTCTTCCCCTCTTCCTCCTCCTCCTCCTCCTCCTCCTCGTCCTTGTCTTGCAGCAATACTTCCACGCCGGGGGGAACGGCCTGAAGAAGACCTTCCTGGAGAAGAGCTCCGACCTGCAGTCGCTGCGCTACGCCCTCTCCCTCTACACCCAGACCACCGACACCCTCATCAAGACCTTCGTCCAGACCCAGACGGCACAAGGTCAGCAGCCCAAGGCCACCACCCCATTTTGGACAATGGACATCTCCATAACCTTTGGGAGATTTTATCATGTTTGGAAAGGCATGGCCTGGTTAGAAGTCGTTACCTTTCGGAAAACGATGCCATAACCTCTTGTTAGAGTCATGACCTTTTGGGCACCTCTAATCTCATTTTTCGCGGGAAGGGATCAATATGCAAACGAGTTAAAGGATAGGTTGGTCAAAATAGGTGGAGAGAACGAATAGTAGAATAGGAATGGAGCAATTATAACAGGATCATTACAGCTTAGCTTAAAAATATAGTAATCAAATATAGGAACTGAGTTCAGGTCATGGTTAGGAGCCATCTATCAGGAATCGTCAATCAAAAGTGCAATGAAACATCCTTGTCTTTAGTTCCTCATGAAACATGGATAGGGAAGGTGCTAGCCTGGTCTCCCTGGGGAGGGAGTTCCAGAGATGAGGGGCCACCACCGAGAATGACCTTTCTATCATCCCCACGAACAGCCTGAGAAAGGTGTTATACAAATACAGCAAATAATAATAATAATAATAATAATAATAATAATAATAATAATAACAACTTTATTTATACTCCGCCACCAATCTCCCCAAGGGGACTCGAGGCAGCTTACATGAGGCCAAGCCCAGCAATACCATCTATATAAATAAAAATGTCATGTTCGTTTGTGGGATTAACAGAACTCAAAAACCACTGGATGAATTGACACCAAATTTGGACACAAGACACCTAACAACCCAATGTATGTCCTTCACTCAAAAAATTGATTTTGTCTTTTGGGAGTTGTAGTTGCTGGGATTTATAGTTCACCTACAATCAAAGCATTCTGAACCCCACCAATGAGAATTGAATCAAACTTGGCACACAGGACTCCCAAAACCAACAGAAAACACTACAAGGGTTTGGTGGGCATTGACCTTGAGTTTGGGAGTTGTAGTTCACCTACATCCAGAGAACACTGTGGACAGAAACAATGCTGGATCTGGACTAAACTTGGCACAAGCACTCAATACGCCCAAATATGAACACAGATGGAGTTTGGGGGAAATAGAAACTTGACATTTGGGAGTTGGAGTTCCTGGGATTTATAGTTCACTTACAATCACAGAACCCCACCAACAATAGAATTGGGCCAAACCTCCTACACAGAACCCCCATGACCACCAAAGTGGGCCACAGCAATGCGTGGCAGGGGACGGCTAGTCCATATAAATAAAACTGTAATGTTTGTTTGTGGGATTAACATAACTCAAAAACCACTGGACGAATTGACACCAAATTTGGACACAAGAAACCTCTCAGACCAACAAGTGACCATCACTCATAAAAACACTGGAAAACACAGCGGAAGGGACTTTAAAAGCAAAAAAAATTTACAATGTTCATGCATATCTTCTTACCTAATTGGATTTACCTATTCCTTTAAAGTGCTTTTTACTTAGATGCTTTTTACTTATCTATATAAATAAAAATATAATATTTGTTTGTGGGATTAACATAACTCAAAAACCACTGGACGAATTGACACCGAATTTGGACACAAGACACCTCTCAGGCCAACGAGTGACCATCACTCAAAAACACTGGGAAACACAGTGGAAGAGACTTAAAAAGCCAAAAAACCCAAAAATTACATTACAAAACCACATATATATACGCAAACACACACACACACACAAAGAACATATATATACAGCAACGCGTGGCAAGGGACGGCTAGTACATCAGTATACACAGAACACAGTAAAAAAATTATCAAGAAATAAAAATACAATACAAAAAAACATTATAAATAACACAAAATAAAGTCGCAACATTTAAAATCGATCAGAGTAGGCAGGGCCAGTTCCAATAGATTAAAAAATAAAAAAATAAAATTATTTAAAAATTATTATAAAAATTATTTAAAAAAATTAAAACACATTACAGCAGTGTCATGGCCGCTGAGGTCTTGAACCCAATGGGCAGCCTTGGCCCTTTTGCCCCGGCCGGCCGGCCTTTCTTCCTGCTCATTGTGATCGATGGACGGAGGCCCGTTTCTAACCTGACTTCTCTTTCTTCCTTCCTTCCTTTCCTTCTATCTTTCTTTCTTCCCCTTTCTCTCTCTCTCTTTCTCTCTTTCTTCCGGCGCAGTGCATGGTGGGAAAGGGATTAGGTTCACGGCTAGTGAGAATGTCCGTCCTGAGAAGGGTACGTTGTTCCAGGCCACGGTTGCCACGTCAGCGTGGGCCCGCTTCAAACGTGGTCTGCTTTGAAGCCCCCTTCCTTCCCTTCCTTTCCCCGAAACGCCTGCCTCGTAGCCTTTGGTGGTTGTGGCTTGTGCGGTGGAGACCCTCCCTTTGTGACCTTGTGGACTTCCAATATGGCCAATGTGTTCTAGCAGCATTTTCTCCTGAGGTTTCATCCAGAGGAGCCGGCCCCACTTCTGGTGCGGAAAGGGCGCTGCACCCATGGCACTTGTCTCCAAGGAAGGCACATGATAAATTAGGTGTTGTGTGGTTTCCGGGCTGTGTGGCCATGCTCTAGCAGCATTTTGGTTAGATAGATAATACACCATTAGGCAGGAATGCATTGGCTGTAACCCTATTGTGAAAACCGTAGAGTGAAAATACAGTTCTAATGGACATGTGGGCGCACACCTCCTGCATGATTAAGTAGGAAGTGATATGTAAGAATGAGATGTAAGAATTGCATGTGAGACACACATGATAAGTGGGGTGTTGTGTGGTCCCAGGCTGTGTGAAAATGTCTTCTAGCAGCATTTTCTCCTGATATTCAATTCAAGAGAGATATTGACAAGCTGGAATGTGTCCAGAGGAGGGCGACTCAAAGGATCAAGGGTCTGGAGAACAAGCCCAATGAGGAGCGGCTTAAGGAGCTGGGCATGTTTAGCCTGAAGAAGAGAAGGCTGAGAGGAGATATGATAGCCATGTATAAATATGTGAGAGGAAGCCACAGGGAGGAGAGAACAGAGCAGATCAAGGGTCTGGAGAACAAGCCCTATGAGGAGCGGCGTAAGGAGCTGGGCATGTTTAGCCTGAAGAAGAGAAGGCTGAGAGGAGATATGATGAGGCCATGTATAAATATGTGAGAGGAAGCCACAGGGAGGAGGAGGAAGCAAGCTTCCTTTCTGCTTCCCTGGAGACTAGGACGCAATGGAGCAATGGCTTCAAACTACAAGAAAGGAGATTCCATCTGAACATGAGGAAGAACTTCCTGACTGTGAGAGCCGTTCAGCAGTGGAACTCTCTGGCCCGGAGTGTGGTGGAGGCTCCTTCTTTGGAAGCTTTTAAACAGAGGCTGGATGGCCATCTGTCAGGGGTGCTTTGAATGCAATATTCCTGCTTCTTGGCAGAAGGGGTTGGACTGGATGATGGCCCAGGAGGTCTCTTCCAACTCTATTATTCTTACTATTACTACTACTACTACTATTATTATTATTAAGCAGAGGCTGGGTGGCCATCTGTCAGGGGTGCTTTGAATGGAATGTTCCTGCTTCTTGGCAGAATGGGGGGGGACTGGATGGCCCAGGAGGTCTCATCCCACTCTAGCATTTTATTATTATTATTGTTATTATTATTACTACTACTACTACTATTATTATTATTAAGCAGAGGCTGGATGGCCATCTGTCAGGGGTGCTTTGAATGCAATATTCCTGCTTCTTGGCAGAATGGGGTTGGACTGGATGATGGCCCAGGAGGTCTCTTCCAACTCTATTATTATTATTATTATTATTATTATTATTATTATTATTATTATTATTACAGAGGCTGGATGGCCATCTGTCAGGGGTGCTTTGAATGCAATATTCCTGCTTCTTGGCAGAATGGGGTTGGACTGGATGGCCCAGGAGGTCTCTTCCAACTCTAGGATTTATTATTATTATTATTATTATTATTATTATTATTAAGCAGAGGCTGTATGGCCATCTGTCAGGGGTGCTTTGAATGCAATATTCCTGCTTCTTGGCAGAATGGGGCTGGACTGGATGATGGCCCAGGAGGTCTCTTCCCACTCTAGGATTCTATTATTATTATTATTATTATTATTATTATTATTATTATTAACAGAGGCTGGATGGCCATCTGTCAGGGGTGATTTGAATGCAATATTCCTGCTTCTTGGCAGAATGGGGCTGGACTGGATGATGGCCCAGGAGGTCTCTTCCCACTCTAGCATTTTATTATTATTATTATTACTACTACTACTATTATTATTATTATTATTATTAAGCAGAGGCTGGATGGCCATCTGTCAGGGGTGCTTTGGATGCAATTTTCCTGCTTCTTGGCAGAATGGGGTGGGACTGGTGGCCCAGGAGGTCTCTTCCAACTCTATTATTATTATTATTATTATTATTATTATTATTATTATTATTATTATTATTAAACAGAGGCTGGATGGCCATCTGTCAGGGGTGCTTTGAATGCAATATTCCTGCTTCTTGGCAGAATGGGGCTGGACTGGATGATGGCCCAGGAGGTCTCTTCCCACTCTAGCATTTTATTATTATTATTATTGCCATAGATGCAGGCAAAATCTCAGGAGAAAATGCTGCTAGAACACATTGGCTGTACAGCTTGGAAACCCCACAACACCCTGCCTTCCTTTTCTTCCTCCTCCTCTTTTGGCCAAAGGAAGGCCGGTTGAGGGGCACAAAAGGCTGCATTGGGTCCAGTGACCCTCCCTTGCCCGCCCTCGCCGTGAGACCCTTGGACCGAAGGAAAGGAGGAGCATAGCTGGACCTACAACAACTGAGTCATAGAATCATAGAATCATAGAGTTGGAAGAGACCTCATGGGCCTTCCAGTCCAACCCCCTTCTGCCAAGAAGCAGGAATATTGCAATCAAAGCACCCCTGACAGATGGCCATCCAGCCTCTGTTTAAAAGCTTCCAAAGAAGGAGCCTCCACCACACTCCCTCTGGGGCAGAGAGTTCCACTGCTGAACGGCTCTCACATTGATCACAGTCAAGAGTTTGCACCGTTCACTGCAAGGCCTTCTCTTGGGCTCTGGCTCAAGTGGGGATGGCCTCATTGCTGTTGACTTGGAGGGGCCGGTCCGGGGGTTGGGGGCTTGTGTGGCGCAGAGGGGCAGCCAGAGCAAGGCCTCGGCCTCTGAGTGCGTGGGGGGGGGGGCTCCTTTTGCTGGCTGGAGTCCTCAGCCACCTTGCAAACCACCCCACCGGCCTCTTCAGAGACCATTAAGAGCTCTCGACAGATCCACGGCCGGCCTTCAGTGTGTCATGGGCCAAATCTCACCTGGCTAAATCAGATTCAGATTTGTATTTATTTATTTCGGGTATTTTTACCCCGCCCTTCTCAACCCCCTAGGGCAGTGGTTCTCCGCCTACCTAATGCTGTGACCCCTTAGTGCAGTTCCTCATGTTGTGCTGACCCCCAACCACATTATATTTGTGTTGTGACTTCATAACTGTAATTTTGCTAATGTTATGAATTATAATGTAAATATCTGATATGTAGGATGTATTTTCATTCAGTTTGGCACAAATACCCCATACGCCCAAATTTGAATACTGGTGGGGTTGAGGGGGGTGGATTTTGTCATTTGGGAGTTGTAGTTTCTGGGATTTATGGTTCATTTAAATTAAAAGAGCATTCTGAACTCCACCAATGATGCAATTGAACCAGATTTGGCACACATAACTCTCATGACCAACAGAAAATACTGGAAGGGTTTGGTGGGCATTGACCTTGAGTTTGGGAGTTGTAGTTCACCTACATCCAGAGAGCACTGTGAATTCAAACAATGATGTATCTGGACCAAACTTGGCGCGAATACTCAATATGCCCAAATGTGAACACTGGTGGAGTTTGGGGAAAATAGACCTTGAGATTTGGGAGTTGTAGTTGCTGGGATGTATAGTTCACCTACAATTAAAACACAGTCTGAACCCCACCAATGATAGAATTGGGCCAAACTTCCCACACAGAACCCCCATGAGCAACACAAAATACTGTGATAGATACTGATAGATACTGATGGTCTTTGGTGACCCCTCTGACACCCCTTTGCGACCCCTCCAGGGGTCCCGACCCCCAGGTTGAGAAACACTGCCCTGGGGGGGGGGGGGGACTCAGGGCGACTAATGCAGCGATAGATACTTATGGTGATGTTTTGCAAATTGTGACACACGCATGCATGCACATTTATGCAGACGTATGTATGTACAGGGCGCAGGCTTTGGCCACTGGCTACTCTGAGGGTCAAGGGGCCCTGCTCTTGCTTTCCTCTCCCTTGGGAAGCATGGGCGGAGACCCAGTGGGACTTGTCTTGGGAGGCAGCGCTTTGTCTCCATGCACCTTGGTCCCGAAAGGCGCAGGCGGAGCATCATCGGTCAGTCGGCCAGCTGTGGGATGCATGCGCTGCTGAGTGAAGTGAGGGGAAGGGGGTTGTACCCAGGAGTAGAGACCCCCAAACAGGGCAGGGCGTACAAAGGAAGCGGGCTTGTGCGTCCACCAACCCCCAAATAGCCTTAGGTCCAAAGAAGCTCCGCCCAAGAAGTGGCCAAAGAGAGAATTAAGAGGAGAAGAAGGAGAGGCGCTTGCAGGAGGGGGTCTGGCTGGCCAGGGAAGAGGAGGATGACCATGACATTGCAGACCCAGGTGACCTTTGCCCTCCCTTCGCTCAGGCTCCGGCGTGGACGACCCCGTGGGTGAAGTGTCCATCCAGATTGACCTGTACACGCACCCGGGCTCCGGGGAGCACAAGGTGACGGTGAAAGGTAAGGGACCGCTTGGTCCTCTTCTGGGCGGAGTGGGCGTTTGGGCAGGGGTGTGGATCTGACCCTCCTCCTTCTCTCTTTCTCGCCACTTCCTCCAAGTCGTGGCCGCCAACGACCTCAAGTGGCAAACGTCCGGCATGTTCCGCCCCTTTGTGGAGATCACCATGATCGGGCCGCACCAGAGCGACAAGAAGCGGAAGTTCACCACCAAGTCCAAGAGCAACAGCTGGTCCCCAAAGTACAACGAGACTTTCCACTTGTAAGTCCGGCTCCCTCCCGCCGTCCGGTCTGCGTCCGCGTTGGTTTCCCCTTTTCCTTGACCTCTGTGAGGATATTTGGGATCTACCTCTAGCAGAGTGCAGCGCAGCTTATGGCAGGAAACAGGAGAGAACATACTCACTGCCAGAATAACCGGGGTGTTGTGTGGTTTCCAGGCTGTATGGCCGGGTTCTAGCAGCATTTTCTCCTGACGTTTCGCCTGTGAAACGTCAGGAGAAAATGCTGCTAGAACCCAGCCATACAGCCCAGAAACCACACAACACCCCACAAAATCTTGCTTTTGCACTCCAGGAGAAGGAAAAATCCTCTGATTTTAAACCCCACACGTTAAATAGGAAAGCAGTCCTTTTATTGAAGGTAAGTAAAAAGCACTTAAAAGGAATAGGTAAATCCAATTAGGTAAGAAGATAAGCAGAAGCAAATTATTCCAAGGTAGAGTTCAGCAAAGTCCACATATCTCTAATATAACCCAGAAAAAGAACAGGAATACATTGATCCAAGGCTTGGAGGAGCAATCAAAAGCCATGACACAAGAAATCCCTTAATATGATTCTGGTTCACGGCCCTTCTTTTCTCCCCCCCCCACCCACCCCCCCTCCCACCTGCAGCCTCCTGGGCAACGAGGACGGGCCGGACGCCTACGAGCTGCAGGTGTGCGTGAAGGACTACTGCTTTGCCCGGGAGGACCGTGTGCTGGGGCTGGCGGTCATGCAGCTGCGGGACGTGGCGGACAAGGGCAGCTGCGCCTGCTGGTGCCCGCTGGGGCGGCGCGTCCACATGGACGACACGGGGCTGACCGTCCTGCGCATCCTCTCCCAGAGGACCAACGACGAGGTGGCCCGGGAGTTCGTCAAGCTCAAGTCCGAGTCCCGCTCCGCCGAGGAGGGCAGCTGATCCATGTGCGGCGGCGGTGGCGCTTGCGCCCTGTGCGGTGACGCCTGCGAGGTGTGCGCAGTTGGACCTCCAAAGCTTCAGCGGGCAGAGCGTTGCAGCCCAAATAAGTCCGGCGGTCAGTTGCGCAGAGGAGCTGCTGCGGCGACAGTGGACTTGGGACGTATTTCGCGAATGTTGAGCAGGAACAGAACGGGAAGGGTTCTAGTTGGGGGTGGAGACAGTCTCTGGGGTTGCGCTCCTGCCTTGCGTGGCCTCTCCAGAGTCGGTACCACGAGGAGGAGGAGGAGGAGGGACCCATGAGCCAGGCGCACCTTTAAGAGGAAGGATCTGGACACTGGGGGGAAATGGTGGGCCTGGAGGGGAGCGGGCCTAAATGGCGTCGTTATTGTAAATAATAGGTTTTCTTGTGCCAGTCTGGCCTTGGGGGTCTCGCCAAGAAGGGGGGGGGGCAGATGGTCTGTGGCCACCAAGAGCTCTTTTGGGCCTGAGCCACGGCCACAGAAGTCCCGTGACCGATCCTGACCCACCTGAACCCTCTCTGCCCTCCTCCTCCTCCTCCTCTCTCCCCCGATCAAACACAACACAGACCAAAAATGGCCCCTCCGGCCACTCCGTGTTGCCCTTCCAGCGCCGCCTTATTATTTTCCCCGTTCCTCCGTCGCCACGTCTTTGTCCAGGAAGCGCCCCTTCCCTCCGTCCCGTCCCGTCCCCCAAATCCCCTGTGAAGCCCTTGGGCCAGATGGGGAGGGGCTTTCCCAAGTGACCCTTCCGTTGACCAGCCCCGGGGCTGCAGTGGGGGGCTCTGTTTGTATATTTGGAGGGGGGTCCTTCCCCCCCCCCCAGTTTGTTTCCTTTTGGCTCCTGTACAGCTGTATGATACACACCTCGTGCTTCATGATACTCCGCTTTTAGGTGCTGCGTAGCTGTGGTCAGTGGGTGTGATGCAAGACGCGCTGCCGCTGGGGTCGCCAGAAGACGATTCCCATCCCTCTGGCCATTTCCGGTCACTGTTCCATGTGCCACTGCGGGGGGGGGGGCGGAAGGGAGGGAGCGGGGAGAGGCCTTGAGTAATAAAGGGTCTTTGAGCAGCCTGCCTTCTTCTCTGCCATTGGTCTCAATGGGTTCCTTGCTGGGTCAGGTGGAGCAGGACAGGTAGGCATGTGCACAGGTGTGTGTGTGTGAGAGAGAGAGAAAAAAACAGGGGGAAACCACTTCAAAGGCTGAGACTATTAAAAAATATGCAGACAGACAATTCATATAAATCGACTTCTAAAGCAGGCACGGGCCAGCTTGGGCCCTCCCTTCAGGTATTTTGGACTCCAACTCCCAAAATTCCCAACAGCCTACCGAGTGTTGTCAAGCAATTTAGAATGGCTGCAGATAGGCCCAAGCCATTGTGGGTTGCCTGGGGAGAAAGGGAATCCAATATTCCAGAATAAATCTCACCAAGTTGAAGAGAAAGCCACCGAGGTTTTTGTTTCATTCCAGCTGGAAAGGGTGACGATTGCAGTAATCTGCCAACAAAATCGACATGCCCACTGGGCAAAAGGATACAATACTTATAGCCTTCGGATTCAAAAGTTCCCATGCCTACCAATCCCGCCCCCCTCCCCGAGCTGGCTTTGATGTCAAGCGGAAGAGCCAATGGCGGCCTGAGTCCTGCTTTGGCCGCTCAGCCAATGAGGTGGAAGGGAGGCGGGCAACAGGGAAACGACGAAGAAATGTCTCATTGACAGGATTAAGGTGACCAGTGTTTGCCTAACAATTCAGCGATAGCTTAGCTCTCAAGCCAGTCTGAGTTATTGTTTTAATCTTTTGAACCTCCATCTCTGCCCAGCCCGCAAGGAGCTCGGTCCTTTGTTTCATAGTCCTGTGGTCTAGGGTTTATGGATGAAGCTGAAGCTGGTTTCGGCCGGTTGGGGTTGACACAGTGGAAAGGCTGTGGTGAAATTCCTGGTTCCTCGCAGAGAGGAAGACACCTTCCATGTCACAACCACCATGTCAGACTACATAAAGAAGCATGTGGACAATTTCAACAGAATGGAGGAAAACATGAAAATGAACACAATCTGGCTAACAGTATTAAAAATCTTTAAAATTACAACAGCACAACAACAGAGAGGAAACAAACAAGGACATCTAATCACCTCTCAACAAAAGATTGCTCCAGTCACTGTCAGGCCATTATATGCTAATCAAGGTGGTCAGTTGAAACATTCACACCTAGCTCCAGCAGGCAAGAGTCCTTTGTCCCACCCGGGTCATTCCACAGACGTATAAATCCATTTTCCTAGTTCCAATAGACTTCACGACCTCTGAGGATGCTTGCCATAGATGCAGGCGAAACGTCAGGAGAGAATGCCTCTAGACCATGGCCATATAGCCCGAAAAAACCTACAACAACCTTGGAAGACACCCTTTGTGTTGAGTAACTTAAATGTCCATGACTCGTATAGTCCCAAATGGTCTAGCTGTTGCCCTCCGAAGTCTGATCTGATAAGACCTATTGCTTCTTATTGTCCATGCAAGTGGGCTTGGTGAAACCTTTTGTGAAGGGATTTCCAGCTCAGGAGCCGTGGAGGGTCTTCCTGAGCCACAAGAGTGGCTGGTCTTATGAAACAGTGGCTTTTTCCTTCATGTTTCCATATAAACACACATACACATAGGGGATGGGGAATGGGGCGAGGGGACTTACAAGGAATTCACAGGAAGAGAGGGGGAATCGTGCAGGGTCTCCGGGAAAGGCACGTCAGCCCACCAAAGTCCATAAAAGTTCATGGAAAGTCCATTAAGAGTTGGGCCATGGAAAAAGCCTCAGGTTTCCACATGGGGGAGGGAGAGGGGATTATGGGATCATTCCAGCATGGTGTCCTTGGCAAAACTATGAATTCCCTGATGTTGAACTATCCTTTACAAAGTCCGGGGGGGGGGGGGGGGGTGTCCACCTCCTATCCAGTAGAGTCTCCTTCCTTCTCTGGAGGTTTTGAAGCAGAGTGTGGATCTGGGCCTCTGTTGGGAGGGCTTGGGTGGTGCCTTCCTTTTTGACAGGAGGCAGTGGGGCTGGGTGGCTTTTAGAGGTCTCTTCCGGCTTTGGGGCGGCAGCTCCCCGTGTCCCTTCTTGGTGAGAGCGTGGGCCAGGGTCGGGGGAGCGGCCTCCTTTGCCCAAATGCCAGGGGACCTTCAGGCCGGAAGCTCACGGGGCTTGGGGTGATGGGTCAGCCTTGGCCCTTCTGCGGAGGATCCCTCAATGCAGCCGAGGAGAAACCAAGGTGAACCCTGAGGGCTTCTGTGGGCTCTTCCACTCTGTGGCTTCCAATGAAGGGTTTTAATGCCGTGGGCCGTTTAATCGGATGGTAGGAACAGCCTTCTTGGAACGCTTTTGCGGCCGTCTTTGGACACGCTCGGAGCTCTCGCTTTTTAGTTTGTGTGAGTCACGCCTGGAATCCCAGGGGAGAAGAAGGAGAGGAGGAGGAGGAGGAGAGGAAGAAGAGGAGGAGGAGGAGGAGAAAGAAGGAGAAGAACAACAAGAGGAAGAAGGAGAAGAGGAAGAAGAAGAAAAGAAGAAGAACAAGAGGAAGAAGGAGAAGAGGAAGAAGAAGAAGAAAAGAAGAAGAACAAGAGGAAGAAGGAGAAGAGGAAGAAGAAGAAGAAAAGAACAACAACAACAAGAGGAAGAAGGAGAAGAGGAAGAAGAAGAAGAAAAGAACAACAAGAGGAAGAAGGAGAAGAGGAAGAAGAAGAAGAAAAGAACAACAACAACAAGAGGAAGAAGGAGAAGAGGAAGAAGAAGAAGAAAAGAACAACAACAACAAGAGGAAGAAGGAGAAGAGGAAGAAGAAGAAGAAAAGAAGAAGAACAAGAGGAAGAAGGAGAAGAGGAAGAAGAAAAGAAGAAGAGCAACAACAACAAGAGAAAGAAGGAGAAGAGGAAGAAGAAGAACAACAACAAGAGGAAGAAGGAGAAGAGAAAGAAGAAGAACAACAACAAGAGGAAGAAGGAGAAGAGGAAGAAGAAGAAGAAAAGAAGAACAAAAAGAGGAAGAAGGAGAAGAGGAAGAAGAAAAGAAGAAGAACAAGAAGAGGAAGGAAGAAGAAGAAGAAAAGAAGAAGAACAAGAGGAAGAAGGAGAAGAGGAAGAAGAAGAAGAAAAGAACAACAACAACAAGAGGAAGAAGGAGAAGAGGAAGAAGAAGAAGAAAAGAAGAAGAACAAGAGGAAGAAGGAGAAGAGGAAGAAGAAAAGAAGAAGAGCAACAACAACAAGAGGAAGAAGGAGAAGAGGAAGAAGAAAGTGGGTGAAAGGATGGAAGGAAGGATGGAAGGAGGAAGGTGGGGAACTGTCTTGTAGAAGGCTTTCACGGCCAGCATTGCTGGGGCGTTGTGTGTTTTCCAGGCTCTAGGCATTTCCTCCTGATGTTTCACCACAGCCTCTAGAACCCTAGAACCCTATAAGAGTTGGAAGAGGCCTCATGGGTCATCCAGTCCAACCCCATTCTGCCAAAAAGTAGGAAAATTGCACTCTTTAAAGCATTAGGAGGTCTCAAAGGACTGGGACTCCCATCGTTCCCATCCACAGCAGATATGATAGCCATGTATAAATATGTGAGAGGAAGCCATGTCTTTAGTTCCTTGCGGAATGTGGATAGGGAGGGTGCCGACCTAATCTCCCTGGGGAGAGAAGACCAGAGACGAGGGGCCACCACCGAGAAGGCCCTTTCTCTCGTCCCCACCAACCAACGCCATTTTCCTGCTTCTTGGCAGAATGGGGTTGGACTGGATGGCCCGCCAGGTCTCTTCCAACTCTAGAAAGGAGACATCGTATAGTAATCTCTGCTGGTATTCCTGACTTGTGGTACAGCTGTGGCCTTCCTCTTCCTCTCTCCGAGGTTTTTTTGGCAGGATTTGTTTGGAAGGCCTCCCGCTGAGGCTGAGAGAGTGCCTCTCCTCGGCATGCATGACCAAGCTGAGGTGCAAACCCTTGGCTCCTGAATGACATAGAATCATAGAATCAAAGAGTTGGAAGAGACCTCCTGGGCCATCCTCCAGTCCAACCCCATTCTGCCAAGAAGCAGGAATATTGCATTCAAAGCACCCCTGACAGATGGCCATCCAGCCTCTGTTTCAAAGCTTCCAAAGAAGGAGCCTCCACCACACTCCGGGGCAGAGAGTTCCACTGCTGAACGGCTCTCACGGTCATAATTTCTAGAGTGGAAGAGACCTCCTGGGCCATCCTCCAGTCCAACCCCATTCTGCCAAGAAGCAGGAATATTGCATTCAAAGCACCCCTGACAGATGGCCATCCAGCCTCTGTTTAAAAGCTTCCAAAGAAGGAGCCTCCCCCACACTCCCTCCGGGGCAGAGAGTTCCACTGCTGAACGGCTCTCACAG